CCCGAGCCCCCAGCCCCTGAGCCCCCTCCTGAGCCCACCAAGGTGATTGTGCGAAGCCTCAGTCCAGCCAAGGAGGTGGTTAGCTCCCCTGGGAGCAGTCCCCGAAGCTCTCCCAGACCAGAGGGTACTACTCTTCGACAGGGGCCCCCTCAGAAACCCTACACTTTCCTGGAGGAGAAGGCCAGGCAAGCTGGGCTGGGAAAAGAAAGGATGACAGAGGGAGGAGAGGGTCGAATGTGGGGAACACAGGGATTCAGAGAGAAGTCCTGGCTAGGGCTGGGGGGAGGCACTGAGATCTGGGTCCTTAGAACTATTGAGTTCAAGGGTATCAGGCACTATCCTGAGTTAGCCATATTATCTCATTTAATCTTTACAACTCTGAGAAAGAGACACTACATTATTATCATCACCCATTTTGCAAATGGGAAAATTGAGCTTAGAAAAATTCTGGAATTTGCCTAAGATATAGTCAGTGAGTGGCAGAACTGGGACTTGAACCCCTGGGATTGAACTCTGGAGCCCACACTGGAAACACTGTATTCTGGCTCCTAGGGGTCCCTGTTCCCCTCATTTAGCCATCACTATAGAAGTGTCCCCCTCCTCTCATCTGAGCCTATGGTGTTCCCTCCCATACACAGGGGCCGCTTTGGTGTAGTGCGAGCATGCCGGGAGAATGCCACGGGGCGAACGTTCGTGGCCAAGATCGTGCCCTACGCAGCCGAGGGCAAGCGGCGAGTCTTGCAGGAATACGAGGTGCTGCGGACACTGCACCACGAGCGGCTCATGTCCCTGCACGAGGCCTACATCACCCCTCGGTACCTTGTGCTCATTGCTGAGAGCTGCGGCAACCGGGAACTCCTCTGTGGGCTCAGTGACAGGTAGCTGGGCATTCTGGGGGAGCAGGGAGTGAGAGTGGGAGAGGCTGGGCCAGGATATTACCTGCTCCACCCCTGCCCTCCAGGTTCAGGTATTCAGAAGATGATGTGGCCACCTATGTGGTGCAGCTGCTACAAGGCCTGGACTACCTCCACGGCCGCCACGTGCTACACCTAGATATCAAGCCGGACAACCTGCTGCTGGCTCCCGACAACACCCTGAAGATTGTGGACTTTGGCAGTGCCCAGCCTTACAACCCCCAGGCCCTGCGGCCCCTTGGCCACCGCACGGGCACACTGGAGTTCATGGGTAAGGGGAGCAGTTGTCACCCAGGGTGGGGGATAGAGCACTGCCAGAGAGGCAGCAGCCAGGGCTTACCCCACTTCATCCACATACGTGTCATTTATTGAATGCTTACTGAATGCAAGCAATGAGCTGAGTTCTTTAGGTAGGTTTTTTTTCCCCAATTGATCTTTACAATAGCACTGGAGTTTGGCATAATGTTTGGCATAATGTTACCCATATTATCTCATTTAATCTTTACAGATGAGAAAACAGAGGCACACTGAAGTTAAGTATTTGTCCAATCAGACAGTTATAGATGGTAGAGGCAGGATTTGCTAAAACTGGAAAGACAGGAGAATCAATTATTATTTTACTTAAATAAGGAAAATCAGCTACCATTTAGGTACCTACTAAATGCTTGATGTTCATTATCTCTATTCCTTAGAGTTATTCTACAAGCTACATTTTACAGATGAGGCAGTGGAGAGCCAGGCAGGTTTAGCAAATTGTCTGGGGTCCCGTGGCTTGGGATGAGAGCCAGCCAGGTTGATTTCAAAGGCTCTTAATCTTGGTGTCAGCCCACCCTTTGTGAATGGGAGCCATACCTCAGAGCTGATCAGAGAGAGCTAGTGACCCTGGTTCTCGGCTCCTTTGCAGTTCTGGGACCCCCACCATTCAGTGCTTGGGCTAGTTCTCCAAGGGCCCCGCATCTCTCCTGGGGGCTGTCTCTACCACTGTCTTGCCTGCTGGCCTTCAGGGCCTGCTGCTCTGGTCATTCTTACTGTCCGGTGACCTGGCCATTGTCCTGCTACTCAGGCCTCCAGGGGCCTCCCTTGCCCCACCCTACTCCCCTGCCACCAGGAAGCTGGGTCAGCCAGGCCTCTGTCTCCTGCCAGCTCCTGAGATGGTGAAGGGAGAACCCATCGGCTCTGCCACGGACATCTGGGGAGCGGGTGTGCTCACCTACATTATGTGAGTGCGCCTGGCCCTGCCTCAACCCCGCTGCCACACTTTGAGCTCTGGGATCCATCTTCTGCCTAAACCCTCTCTCTCTTGCCCTACCTCCCTTGCACACACATGCACACCTGCACACACACACCTCGGGGGGTGCGTAGTGCTATTCCCGAGCACCTCTCAGAACTCCTATGCTAATGTCCCCTGGGCCTGGAAGTTGACCTTCAGTCTGCGTGTATCAGTCAAATTGTCCTCTACAACAGGCTCAGTGGTCGCTCCCCGTTCTATGAGCCAGACCCCCAGGAAACGGAAGCTCGGATTGTGGGGGGCCGCTTTGATGCTTTCCAGCTATATCCCAACACATCCCAGAGTGCCACCCTCTTCTTGCGAAAGGTTCTCTCAGTACATCCCTGGTGAGTGAGCCCCACACCTGCCAACTTCAGCATTTCCTGCCTTGTGCCAAAGACCCCAGCTCCTCCTAGTCCTAAAAATATATTGTTGCGGCTACTTCTAAGTGGCCATACCACCTACCATTTAAAGTCTATAGCAGCCCTGTGCAAGGCAGAGACACCATCCCCATTCCAGAGATTGGGAAACTGAGCCCCAGAGTGGCCCAAGATCACACACTTAGGGGTAGATCCAGGATTGGGACATGGGTTTTGGGAAGACAGAGCCATCCTTCCAGGCTCATCAACCCTGGCTTGGCCTGGCAGGAGCCGGCCCTCCCTGCAGGACTGCCTGGCCCACCCTTGGCTGCAGGACGCCTACCTGATGAAGCTGCGTCGCCAGACACTCACCTTCACCACCAACCGGCTCAAGGAGTTCCTGAGCGAGCAGCGGCGGCGCAGGACGGAGGCTGCCACCCGCCACAAGGTGCTGCTGCGCTCCTACCCCGGCGGCCCCTAGCATCATGGACCACAGCCAGGCCTTGGGTTTCAGCTGGGGGTTCCCACCGATGCCATGGGACATTCCAGGGCCCACGCTGAGCCGGGTGAGCCTGGGGCTTCGGATACCACCAGCAGCAATATGTGGCCGGGCTCTTACCTCATGGACCTATGGGGACAGAGGCCCCAGGGCCTCAGCCTGATGCTACCCCAGGCCATAGCCAGAGTGGGAGACCCATTGGTCAGGCTGGGCCGGGGTGGGAACAGGCAGAGGGGTGAGGAGAGAACGGGGAAGTAAAGAGGAAAGGAAGCCGAGGGATAGGAAGGGGAGACTCGAGGAAGGTTCTGAGGCGAGGGGCAGTGCATCTCAGGGAGAACGGAGAAGGGTGGGCATAGCTAGAGAGGAGGAAGAGGAAGGAGTCCAGGGTGTCAGGACAGTGGGCTGGGAGGACGTGTTGGCAAAGCAGGGGCAGGGCATGGAGACAATGCCAGGAAGCTGGAGCCAGGATGGGAGAGAGGGCAGCGAGGTGGGGAAGGGAGAGGAGAGGGGACTGTGGTGGAGGTAGGGTGGGCCAGTGACTGGCATCCCCGGAAGGAGACACACGGAGAGTTGGATCTGCCCTCCTGTCCAGTGGATGCAGCTTTGGGCATTCTATGCTGGCCCAAGGATGTCCCCACTGCCCCTCCATGCCCCTTTCTCTCATTCATATTTATTTATTTATTGACTTGTATGAAGTTTTCCCTTCCATCTGATCCCTGTTGCCCATGTTGTCCTGACCGTCCTCCCAGCCATCCAGCTGTCTGTGCAGCTGTCTGTCTGTCTGTCACAAGGAAAATAAAAATGGCAAGCAGCAGGACCTGTGTGTGGTCTGTGGGGAGGCATGGCTTGAGGGATGGCTGGGGAGAGGAGAGTGAGCCTGAGATGAGGCACTCAGCCTTCTCTGGCCCCTGAGAGGCAGCTGTGGAGTCCTCAACACACACATTCGAGGGGCACACCAGCTAGCATCTTGGGACCTCCTCTAACCCCCTGTTTAACCCTTCTGGCCCCTTATCTCTCCTTATTCCTGGAGGGGAGACTGTGGTCAGCTTCTCCCCTTGCAATTTCTGGAATGCTGGAAGGTCCACTGAATCCCCCCCACCCAGACTCTGGTAGCCCCTACCTCTTGTCAAATGTTCCCTCGTCACATGGGGGGGGGGTACTGTGCTCTGGAATAGGCCAGATGTCAACCCAATCCCAGCTCACCCTCCTTCACTCTGCCCAGAAGACAGACTACTCTGGTCCAGACCCCGCAAGCAGAGTGGGTTTCATTCTGATGGTTGGTGAGAGTAGCTGGATTGAGGAGCTGCAGAATGAACCAGGACAGGCCCATACCTCATGCCCTCAGCATCAGAGCACAGAGCAGAACCCTTGGAGCGCCAGCTGCAAGTGCTCTGGTCAGCTGTGTCCAGAATCTTCCTAGGCTGAAGGGCACATTGAATTGTCCCCACAGCAAGTTAGGGGGTCTGCTGGGTGCTAAGACACCCTGACTCTAGTCACTCCCCTGCAGTGCCACAGAATGGTCACTGGGTCCTACAACTGAATTGCCCTACCTTGAGGTCAGGAAGGGAAAGGGGGAGCGACGTCTCCTTGTGTCCAGAGGAACTGTTCTTGTTCCCACCTTGAAAACTCCATTCTTGGCAAAATGAAAGGAACAAAGCCTCCAACCAGGAGCAGAGAGAGCTGGCACAGTGTGTTGCTGATTGAGGTTGAAGGCCCCTTGGCTCCAGCTCAAACAACCCTTTGCTCAGCCCAGCCCAGCCTCTCTGGCTTCTCAGGACCCCAGAGAAGAGGCAAGCCCCATCATCATAAAATAACAGGATGTTAAAACCAGCTGGAAGGGACCAGAGAGACGCCTTGCCTGCCTGTCATTTAAGCGATGAAGATATACAGTTTGCCTGTGAAAATCTCCAATCCCCTACACACTGCAAGTGTTTTGTATAAAAATGAGGTGCCTGAACTCATATCTTGATAAATGGTAAAATTCCTCTCCCGTCCCCCCTCTGATCTTGAGCTCCCTTCCCATCTCCATTGGAAATGGCATATGAACTGCTTGTTCCAAACCCGGAGGAGCAAAGGTAATTTATGTCAGCAGAGCTGTGTCAAAATTGCTCTGATCAAAAGGTGACAGCGCCCCACACCTGGACGGGTAGTTACAGTGAAGGAAAGCAATGCTCCTAACTGGTGCCCTGGCCTGGGCAGATGGACTCCAAGAAAGACCCAAAGGGGAACTGAACCCCTTCATGCCGGGCTGTCTGATGCCACTATGCAACAGTTTATGCCCCAAAAAGGGCTTAGACAGACCTAGGGTTGGGAGCTAGTAGTGGTACCAATCTCCAGGGACAATGCAGTCCAGCCAGACCTTACCATGTCACATTGAGGAGAGGAAGCGGGAATGGAGAGGGCATAGAGGGGCTGCTCGCCTCAAAAATCTGTCCCTCTCCTCCCAGTTTATCTCAATTTACCACCAGGGGGCACAGTGCAGAAGTGACAACTCGATTCCTGGGGCAGGGGGTGGGGGAAGAATGAGGCGCTTCTGGATTGGTCTTAACAACCACGTGGCCCTGTCGTGATTAGCTGTATGGACCATAAAGTCCGAAGCTACTTTGGCTTTATTCAGAGACACCCCACAGTTGAACCCCCTTAACCAGGAAAGGGCATGTCATCTGACTGACTGTCCCAGACCCACCGACCTAGATATGAAGCCACCCAGCAGCCAGCCGAACCTTTTTCAGTACGGACTGTGTCTGGTCCTCCCAGGAGTGGGGTGGATACTCCCTTCTCTGGGAAGAGCAGCTGTCCAGCTGTCCAGTTGTCCAGGCGCTGACGTGAGGTACACCCCAGAGCCGCTCGGGTTTCCCCCCCAGGGCCTAACCCAGCGGCTGAGCCAGCATCACAGGCATCCTTGGGCTAAATAAGGAGCTCGCTTGGGTCAGGGGGCGGGGGATGGGGTCCCGGGGGGCTTAGGGCAACCACGCCAAACAAGGCAAGAAGGGGAGTGATGTATAAAACCAGGTCCAGAGCTGAGCACCTGCCTGTGCCCCTGCTGTGCCATCCCGAAGGCCTCTGTGCCGCCTGCGTGTCGGCCAGTAGACTCAAGTCCCGAAGTCAACCCCGCCACGGTGAGTCCGAGGAACCTCGTACACTCCCACTCCCTGGAATGTTCTGATCAGGCAGGAAAAGGGCAGACGGTGGAACGCTCTCTCTTAGCCTGGACCCCTATGTTTGTTGTCCGGTCCCCAGATGTCCAAGGCAGCTCCCGCCAAAAAACCAGCGGCTGCGGCCCCACCTCCTGGATGTACCCTGGATATCAATGACCCCCAGGTCCAGAGCGCGGCCATTCGCATCCAGGCCTCTTACCGGGGCCACAGGTGAGAGGGAGCCCTGGAGTCCTTCTGAAGAAGAGAGCTGCAGAAAGCGCATTCCAGAATGGGGGGGGGTGGGGTGGGAGGGAGCACAGTGGCATGAACAACTAGGGTCACTGGACTTAGGGGAGGGCGGATACCGACAGGTGGAAGGATGCTGGTGCCCGTGGCTCAGTTTTTCAGGGTAGCAGTCTGAAGCAGCCCCCCTCTCCCACCAGCCCACACGTTCTGGGGTCCGCTGGGCCGAGGGGGCGGACAGGCCTGCGGGCGGGCCTGTGGTGGGAGCTCTGGGCCCTGACCCGGCCGGCGGGTAGGTCCCGGAAGGAGCTGCGCGAGAAGGGGCCGCCGCGGGTGCTGGAGCCGCTGAAGGACGTGGTGCTGATCGAGGGCAGCGCGGCCAAGCTGACCTGCCGCATTTCGGCTTTCCCGGACCCGTTCATCCGCTGGAGCAAGGACGGCAAGGAGCTGCGCGACGGGCCCAAGTACCGCTACGTCTTCGAGGACCCTGACGTGGTGGCACTGGTGGTGCGCGACGGCGAGCTGGCAGACCTGGGCCAGTACAGCATCAACGTCACCAACCCCTTCGGCCAGTGCTCCGACTCGGCGCGCATTCTAGTGGAAGGTACGAGC